GTCCTAGTAGTTTTTGAGTTATTGCAAATATATAAAAAAATCCAAATCTTCCCTCTTCATAATAGTATAAATAAAATTTTCAATAACTAAAATATATCTAAAATTAACAATCATTAGTACTCTTAAATAATTTAAGAAAGTAATCATTTCGAATCAATAATCAAATTGGAAGACCATTTATAAACTTCTATACGTACCTAGGATCAAAATCATCTTCTAGAACGAGCGAGGCGCTGCCGCTGGAGGGCGCCGGGCACGTCTTGAACAGATCGTCTAGAAGATCCTGTGAGTTCTGCGAGTTCTGTAGGCTGGCAGCAGGCGCACTGGCCGCTGGCTTGCCGTAACTGGCCGCTGCTCCTGCAAGGAGGTTACAGTCTTAGTTCAGCGCCATCTATCGCGTTAAGTGCGGAAACAGAATAGCGACAGCTGACGTCACATTTCGTCGTATAGTAATAAACATTTGATCAACTCAAAAACAGAGTTCAATATAATACAACACATTTGAACAAAAGATACAAACAAGAAAAAATGAAAATTAACTTTTAATAATCAAAACTTATCACAAGAAAGATTGCAGACAAAAAAATAGAAATATAAATTATTAAAAAAATAGGTAAAATAATAGAATAGTAATATGTCACCTAAATCGATCTTTTTCACAGGTGTACTAGGTTTAGTCTTAGCCGGACTGCGCAGACTGATACTGAGCGGCTTGTTGCTCTGCTCAGAACGCTCAGAACGCTCAAAACGCTCAGTAGATATGTCCCTGTCGCGAGACAATCGCGGACTGCTGTCTATTACCTCCGCGTCACGGTACACATTCTCTCTGCAAGACAGTTCACATTAGTCCAGTTGCGCTGGAATAAAAGTCCGACATTCCATTCATTAGACTGGAATAAAAAATTTTTAGTGTTTTCACATTATTCCAGTTGTACAAGTGCCAAATTACTAATTGACTGATTCTGACTCCCCCCCCTTTGAGAATCAAAAAATGTATAAAAAGATTCCGAATAAGATTTCATTAATAGTAGGCAACCCTAGCTGTTAGCACGCGACTTTGTCTACGTGAAATTACGAAATAGTAAAAACCCAAGCCAATGTTACTAATAAATAGCTATTTTAATGGTGAAAGTATATTTAAAATCGGTGCGGTAATTTTTGAGTTATTTCAATCTTTCCTCTTTATAATATAGATATATACAAAATATTTACTTGTTTGGTTTTCGATGTCCATAATCACCATCAGAATCATCTCTTTCATAATCATCATCATCATTTCTCTCCTTTATATCATCTGAAACAACATACAACACATTAACAATAATACACCTTACATCTTTACGACTGTTACGATAAGGGGGTAAAACTCACCCCAGCCGGGTGCCGCCCTGTCGCTGTACTCCCCCCAGCCGCCTCCTCCCCCTCCGCCGCCGCCGCCCCCCACACGAACACCCATCACTGCAGCCTCCGAGGACATACCTGACAATTTATTTATTGGAAAGATTCACCAATCGCGTGGTCAAAGTTCGCAACTAAGTTAATATACTTTAGACAATGAAACACAAAAAAAGCAAAAAAAACATACAGGTGACAAGCGCTCACAAGTTTTTTTTCCTTTTTGACCGACTTCCCAAAAAAAAGGAGGTACTCAATTAGTCGATATGTTTTTTTTTTATTCTTTTTTACATAACAAACATTGAATCAAATAACAATCACGTTAATTACAACTATACCGTAGGGTACACATACAAAAAATCTTACTAACATAAATAAGAATGTTTGGATGGATGTATGTTAAAGTTTGTAGCCAAAACTGCTGAACGGGTCTCGATAAATTTAGCATACATTTAGAGCATACTTTGGAAGAAAACATAGGCTACACTACATACATTATTTTTAAAACTCCAGAGGGACGGAGTCGCGTGCGAAACCAAGTTAATAAACAAAGACTAGTTTAAAGGGAATTCTCACCAATATATTTGTCCTTGTTCTTCTTGGCTTTCTTCCTCTCTTCTCTTAACTTCTCGTCGTCCTGTATGAAGTCGATCAGTTCACGCACCTTGTGTCTCACATTTATTCCCTGCATACAAAATTTTTTTTATTAAAACAATGCAAAATAGTCTCAAATGAATTTCAAACATCATTTTTGTCACTAGTGGATGTTGGCAACTTAGTCTGCGAGGAAGATAAAACTATTTCTTTTAGTAATAAATGGCCTATAACAACAAGTGATAATGGAGCTTTTTAATGGTGAAATAAGTTTTTAAATCCCTCCAGTAGTTTTTGAGTTTATCAATTACATACAAAAATAAAAACATACCTCTTTGTAATCATGCATATTGATAAATGCAAAAGTATGGATGGATGTTCGTTACTACGTACCTTTAAAACGGCTTAAACGATGAAATTTATATGTAAAACATTCTAGAAGATAGGTTACTTATAATTCCTCGCGGAATGTCACGGGCAAAAGATAGTATTATAATAGATAATCTATATACTAATATTTTAAAGAGGAAAGATTTGTATTTTTGGATTTTTGTATGTATTTGATTCAAGCAAAAACTACTAGACTGATTTTAAACATTCATTCACCATTAAAAATGTTATTGAATAACATAGGCTATATTTTAACACGGCCGAAGTCGCGAGCAACAGTGATATAGAAGTTCTGACCTGATCTTTTCCGAGATCATCCACATAGGTGTAGTTCTCCAGCGAGCGCAGGTCGTATATGTGCTCCCGGGCTGACGTCACCACGCGCTCGGATCCATTGCGCACCAAGTAGCTCAGCAAGAGCAAGCACTGCAATATATTTTATTTATGTACATATATACTAATATAACAAAGCGTAAACACACACTACTTTGTAGCGTAATATGGCAGCAATCACAGCATATTTTTGAATAACTCTTTCTTTATTAAAAAGCCCTACATTTAAGACATGTTTCAGGCTATATCTTACTAATCTTACTAATATTATAAATGCGAAAGTTTAGATGGATGGATGGATGGATGTTTATTAGAGTTTGTAGCCTAAACGGCTAAACGGATCTCGATAAAGTTTGGTACAGATGTAGAGGATAGTCTGGAAGAACACATAGGCTACTCACTTTTGTTTTTTTTAATTCCACGCGGATGGAGTCGCGGGCGATAGCTAGTATTTTATAAACTTAAAGGCAGAAAAGGGACCATAAGCTACAAGCTGACATCAAGGAAGCAAGGTTACCATGGTAACGGTAATCGTTATCTTACGTCAAAGGCCTCCATTGTCATTTGTGTATTTGAATTTTGACATTTGCAATTGAAATGTTCAGAAATGTTAACAATAAAATCAATTTTTTTACAATTTCATGCAGATGTATTAAGCCTGCACATGGCTAAAATGGTAAAAGACCGAAAATGTAAAACGAAAGAAAAAAGAACGAAAATGTATGGATTGTATAAAAGAGGATATTCTTGAAAGGAGTGAATTTATATACAACAGCTGATAGAGATGTATGGAAGCACATACTGTGCCCTCTATAGGGACAAGGGCATGCTAGATCTCCTATAGACTTGAGGAATTTGGAATCACTACGTTAAATCACATCACAAAAACTGTCAGGAGTTCCTGCCTCTATTTCTGTACCTTGTAAGTGCGTCGCCAGTGTGCCCTGTTGTCGTGCAACATGCGCCTCCAGAGCATAGACATCACCTCGGGGAAGTGCTCATAGGTGAATGTAGCCAGCGCTAACTCCTGCATCTGCTGGCCGGTGGGACCCCACGCCTCATCGGATGTCGCCTCGCGCACCTTACCCTCTACCTCCGTGTAGTTCATCACCACATTTGTACTGAAACATCAAAGGGATTTCTGTTATATTATAAACTAGAAGTCGCTTTCTCCCGCGACTCTGTCCGCGTGGAAATATAAAAAAAACAAAAGTGAGTAGTTTATGTGTTGACTATTCTCTACTTCTGTATCAAATTACTTTAAAATCCGTTAAGCCTTTTAGGCTATAAACTCTAACAAACATCCATCTAAACATTCACATTTACAATATTAGTATGAAGTATGGTATATTACTGATTTCCATGCAAGCTGCATATTTATTTCAATTTGTGAAAAAACAATATTGTCCTCAACCGTACACTCCACTAGGTCATTTGTGGACCTTAGGGTTCCTGGACCATTGGAAGTCAGTGTTGAAAGTGATTCTAACCAGTTTTTTTTTTATTTCAGACAATCTTGTTTGCTATCTAAAGAACTTAAAATTGCTTGAGTTAAGTAATCGCAATATATTGTAAATGAATTTAAAAATTGATATCTAGAATAAATAACTGAAAATATCGCTTTCTGCAGTTTTAAGAAATTTTTGGTAACATATGTTTAGCATAATTTTATTTTAATTCCATTAATGTTGTTTTTACATTCAAAACATTTATATTAATCAAAATAAATTAAACCCCTTCTTTATAAAAGTCACAAATAAAATAAACATGTATAACGATGGCATAATCGAACAGGTCTGTATATTGTGATAAAACAGCATGAATTATGCAACGAATTTGCGGAGAAAGGTTACCCTCAAGGCCGTTGTGCAACACAAATAAGTTGTCAAAAATACCTCGAGATATTAACACTACGGTTCCGTATATATTTTGAAATACAATATTCAATAATCGCAATACCATTAACCTTCCAAATATAACGTAGAATGTGCGTGAGAGGTGTGCACGCTTGCCTGCCTACACCTCTAGCTTACGGACATGAAGCTGTAGTTAAAGCGAGAGTAAATCTTACTATAATATAAATGCGAAAGTTTAGATAGATGGGTGCTTGAATGGATGTTTGTTAAGAGTTTGCCGCCTAAACTTCTAAATGGACCTCAATGATATTTGGCATTGGTGAAAAGGATAGTCTGGAAGAACAAATAGACTGCTTGTTTTTGTTTTTTTTTTTTTAATTCCACTGAACGAAATCATGGGCAAAAGACAGTTGTATCAGATTTTCGAAATTATCGTAAAATTAAAAATAAGGGGTTTTTGAGCACAGGGAACCCTATTTAACATTACTGTCTCTTTATTCATACAGAAAACCACACTTAACAAGTTATAACACAAAAAATTGTTTTTGGTAATGGGATTAACAGTTTTTTGTGCATACTAACTGTCGCTTGTGACTTCGAATGTTTGAAATTAAAAAATAACAATAGCATAGCCTATGTTACTCATTAATAACATAGCTTTCTAATGATAAAATTTTTGAATTGGCCTGGTAGTTTTTGAATTATTTCAATACATACAAACAAACCAATCTTTCATCATTTAGTTAGTTATAAGTATAGATAGATAATTTTTTTTTACTATATATAATGACCATTGATTTTTGTTAGCAGAGACATTTAATATACTTGAAATGTGAAAAGTGAAACTATGAAAGATACAATAATGTATCTTTCATTTACCTTGAAAACTTATTAAGTTGATTGCTTTTATAAATAGTTTCTGTTTAAATAACTTAATGGCTCATTAAATCTACATTTAAAACAGTTTAACAATACAAGTAATGACAATAAAAGTATAATTTTAATTAAACATTTCTTCGTAGATATCTACAGTAGTGTAGACTAAACATTATTATTTATGTGAGCATTTAATTAAAAAACAAAACTGAATTCATTATTTTTCTCCGCACCTGTCAATCCCAATTGAAATATGAGATTATTTTTATGTACAACATTAGTTTATCAGATAAAATAAGATAAAAAGGCATAGAATTGAATTCTTGTAACATATCTTTTGATAAATGTACAAATGAATTTAGTGCAGCCTTGAGTTAAAGTATTATATTGTTTACAAGACTTTGTTTATGACATATTAGCTGTTGTTCCAAACTTTGTCCATGTGGAATAAAAAAAATAGTATACAACATAGCCTGTTACTCAGTAATAACAGTTTTTTATTGTTGAAATTAGCCTAGAAAAAGTTTCAAGTTATTTCAATACATACAAAAATACTAATCTTTCCTCTTTATAATATCAGTATAGACTAGATTTCTCCTGTGTCTGTAACATATTTGAAACTTTTTAACATCATTAATTTTAGTGACAATAGATCCAAAACAAACATCTAAAACTTTGTGGCTTCTTTATTACAAAGGTTTTTACTATTATTTTTTGTTACAGCAGCTACTAACAAATATTTGTTAAGATGCATTTTTATTACTAAAACCTACATTAAATATGTTTTATCTCTATTTTTACAGATAAGGAAAGGATTAAGCCAGTTTTACATAACATTTCAATTTTATACATATGTTTATGATAACAACACAATTAGTACATTAAATAACATTATAGTTCATTCTGTTCAATTTTTTTGTACAAAATATTTAATTTTATATAATAATGTAAAATGCAAGTAATCCAGAAGTCTATTATTGTTATATGATATTCAAATATAGCTAATTGTCTTTATATTTATTTATAATCTAACCCAAAATAATTCTCCATGACAGTATTCAATTTGTGAAGGAATTAAATGAATGTTTGCTAAAAATCCGTGGAAAAAACCTTGGAAAAATAGCTCAACTATATGTTTATGCCCTTGAATTAAAAACCTGCATCAATATTTGTTGTTACTGTGTGTGGAACAGTAAGACAAACAAACGAACAAATATTGAATCCATAAATTAATTTAAAAGTGATTTAAGTTACATATATACGTTAAATATAGCAAGAGAATAAAAAATTAGTAAGTTTTTAGTACACTTCCCTACATAGTTTTACGGTAATCTAACATCTCATTTTGCACTAGTAGCGTATTAATTGCTCTGAAAACCTTCTAATTAAACATATTAATGAGTTACACGGAGTTCATTTACATAAAAATGCTCTAAAATATTGTCGTAACTTACACTTTATCCGCCAACTCTCGAACTTTCCACATACTTATGAACCGATCCATTTCGCACCAGAATAAACTTTTACTCTTCCAAAACGAAAAAAATCACTATAATTTCAAGTAAAACAACATAAAAATTAACTTAAAACGCGAGCTGATGATTTGGCTGACATTATTGCAAAATGGCGAGTAAAATATTGCCATTGTAAAATACTTGAAATTATCATATGTCCAGAATTCTCATTATTATAGTGTGAGATCGCAATTTTTTCCTGCATATTTTTAATTGAGCATTTTAAAGATAATGCAAATTATTGAAATAACCAAATAACTCGTTAACAAATTTCATTTGTCGATTATTGATAGTGTCACAGAGTAAAAATTATTAGACCTTAGGATTGATGTTCGTTGTACATTTTTTAAACGATAATGAGAAAACGGCGTTATTTTCGATAAATCAATCCTATTAATCCCAAATAGATACATAAATAAAACACTCAAACCCATTTTTAAAACATTTTATTAAGATGCAATATCGTTAATTTCAAATTCAAAAGCAATAAAAATGATACCATATTTTTTTTAAAATGTTTTAATGAACTTATGATACTGCAAAAAGTCAGTACATCTCTATTATATTAAAAAGTCTAAAACTTTACATAATTTAGCCATTATATGGTAGACAGAAACAATTGCACGTTTAATTAAGTTTAAAGAGTTTATAGCCATACAACTTGCATTCTAAATAGAACCTCCTAATCTAAATGAGTAATTTCAAAGTGTTTATTATAATTTTTTTGGCGTGGTCATTACTCATAGCTTTAAAGGAAGTGCATGGATCACTAAAAATCACAAAAAATTGCGAAGGGCGCACCCGAAATTGGATTGTTCGTGATTTATATTGCGTTTCTACGGCTCAATTTTAATCGAAAATATTAGTTTTACAATTTTTTAAGTAAAATAAAATTTTACGTCTGTTGGAAATAGTGGTATATTGATTAGAACGATTTGAGACATTAAGAACTGTGCATCTTAAATCTGTTTTGGTTTGCGTTTCGGTTACGACCGAAAGTTCGATTTTGGATGAAACAATTTAGTCCAACACTAGGTACAATACATTGCGTTAAGATGTGTACTAATAATGTTGTTGAGCTACAGCTCAATAGCTCAGTCATGTGAGCTGATTTACACATCTACAGAAAAGATTGTTGTTAATGTTATATCAAGGTTCTTCATATTAATAACACTTTTTACTTCTAATGGGTCCACCCCATTAGAAGGTCATACATCATTTCTTTGCGAGCTGATCGTTTTGTGGCTGAGCGTACTGCCACAGCTCTATCGCCTTGTTGGCGACCACCTCCTCACATTGCTCTGGTATCTAAAAAAAATTAACATTGCACATAGACATTTCCAACCTTATAATTTATTGCAGATCTCTATGGGAAGTATTTCGTCATTTTAGCGAAATTACGTGACCTTGTTTTTAACCTTATCGCAATATGGTAATGTAGGCAATTATTTGTACAGTAATCGGCGGTGATAATTACAGAAAATATGCCTTATAGTTAGCAACGAGATGAACTCCACCTCTTACAAATAACCAATTAGCAATGAGTTGCATAGACAGGGTAAACATTAAAAGCATATTGGCACCGGCAGATTCCATGACTGCACCTACATGTAATATTACAAATGCAAAAGTTTAGATGGGTGTTTGTTAGAGTTTATAGCCTAAATGACAGATCTCAATGAAATTTGGCATTGATTTACAGAATAATCTAAAAGAACACATAGACTACTTACTTTTTTTTTAATTCAACACAGGGTCGCGGGCTAAAGCTAGCTTATTAAAAAATCTTTAAACATACCTCAGAGACACATTTAAGAACTTCATCTCCATTCTGAGCTTTCAAGATATTCCTGCGCAGTGTAATGACTAGCATCACGGCCACAACTGACAGAATCTTTGGTGCTCCGCCACACACTTTGTCCCAAATCCTGAATAAATTAAAAAAAATTTCAAAGTTCTATGTAATATCAAAGTGATTATGACAATACGAAGAAAATACAATAATTGATTTCTATGTATTTAAGTTGAATACAACTAGTTGAACTAAAAGTGATCAATGGTTGAAACATTTAAGGGTCATAAACAGTTGATTCAACAAGTTTGTTTGTGGTTGTGGTTGTTGGTTGTTGTTTATTCAACATGTTAGATGAATTAACCCACACTTTGTAGATTTGTAAGGTATTAAAATGAACATAATTACTTTGGCAATGAAGTAACATCAAGAACACCGGCAAAGCAGGAGTTAAACCATTTTGTTAGAGGTAGAACATCCATTGCATTTATCTCCATAAGATGGCTGAAACAGTACACTAATTGATAGTTAATTTAAAATATTAACCTATTACTATTGAATAATTCAGTAACATAAAAGAATTGTATAACTTTAGCCTGCAAAATAAAGTGAAATTTGAAAAATTTCGTTTTTAAATGGCAAAAGAAATTTGTAAATGCATTATCTTTTGCATTTACTCCTGAAGAAAACTTTCCCCTTTTTAGTCTGTACATTAAGAGTGATTTCCTGCTAAAGAAAACTACAACAAAAAATCAGCATTTGTATGCTTATGCATTAACATACTTGAAGAGTTCCACATCTTCTTTTTCCAGCATACTTTGGAATGCCTCCTTCAGCTTTGGAAGATCTTTCTGCATGTTACGCACTATCTCTGTGAGACTCTTACACAGCCAGTACACATCAACCTCATTGTCATATAACTCCATTAGTGTACTTGCAATGGGAATAAAAGTATCTCCTGACTGGAAATAAACAAGTAAATTATTAAAGAATTCCAACTTAATTAACTGAATTATAAAAAATAGTAACATGTTTTCCAGATTTCTACATTTTAGTCTTTTAATTGCTTTTGTTGCTATGAAAATAAATAATAAGAAACATCCATCCATCTATACAAACTTTTGTATTTATATATACTTCTTAATAATACAAATGTTGGTTGGATGTAAGTTTATTACTATGGATGTTGATAATGACTTAACACTTTATGCTGTAACATGAAGTGCATAGATTAGATATTTAGCATAGATGTTGAAGATTGCCTGGAAAAATACAGTGGTTACAAAGTTTATCTTAAATTTCGCAAGGACGAAACTGCAAACAAAAGCTAGGAACATACATTGAAGTTAGTTTCAGGGAAAAAAGGAGGTTTCCTTTCTTCATTTTCTAACAACCACATTGCTAAGAGTATCTCCGTTCTTGGTGCAGCCATGTCCACCAATGTGAGCATGTCTACAGCGTACAGCAGGTCTCCATACTGCTGCTTACGTTGTTCCATCACAAATTGATGCGAGTCTGCATACACTGGGATTATGTCTGAAATATTAATAAATATAACTTTGAAAGCTACAATTATAATTTGTGATCATAAATCATCAGTTGTAGGCAGTTGTCATTTCTTTTAGGTATTTAGACTTTACAGCATTCATCGCAAGTAAGCAAGCTGTAAATGCCGAAATAATAAATTAACAGAGATTATTGTAAGTTTTATGCTACGAAATAAAGTCCCACCTAGTAGCACTTTCCACACTAAATTCCTATAAGACGCAGGCACCATAAAACGTAAGCAGAATTGCTTCAATTTCACTTTATCCCATGGTTTTTCCTTCATTAAAATCTCTAACGATTTCTTTTCTTCCACTCCACGACATCCCACTTTTTCATAATACGACGAACGAAAATTCCTTTCGTCTGTCATCTTTTACAAAAACAGAAGAAATACGTTGATCCTCTGCACAAATTAAAGATTACGTTAAATTACATTTTTTCTAAGCGCCGAAAAATCCGATAAGTTTTATATTCATTCATACATACATAAAAACAAACCAAATTGCAACTGTCAAATTGATGTCTGCCATCTGTCACTGTCAGATATATTGATCTAAAAAAAACAGAGGATTAAGACAATGAAACGTTCGACCAAGAAAAGTATGTTTATTTTACACAATTTTGTGACTAGGAATAATTTATTTTGTTCACAATTTTATAAGATTACAAATACCACATTGTTACTAAATTATCTTAAGATCTTAAATTGCCTTGACATGTAAAATCAATAGTGAACAATTAACTTATTACAAAAACACAAAAAAAAACAAACATATTTTGCAAAAAATTATTATAATGGTTATAATAAATAAATTCAAAATTTTAACCAAGAAAGACTTCTTAGATAATATTTGAATTTCGATCCAATAAATAATTATGAATGTTAGGTAACCATAGAAATTAGTAATCAGGTTTTGCCAAAATGCAAAGCTCATCAAATATAACAAAGATTTTCTACTAAACTAGTATAAATAGCTTATGGAGATTAATATGGATGTATCTGAGAAAACAAAGGAGTATATAGAAAAGAAACGCGAAGAACTACGGTTCTTCTTCAAAGATGGCAATTTTTCACAGGAAGCTTTGGAAAGAATTATAGAAAATGAATTGAAACCTTTACAAAATGTCACGGATGGAAATCAGCCTTATATTTCAGCTTCCGCAGGTGGAGAAATAAAGACTGAATACGAAGTGTTGACTGGTCAACCATTTACAAATGTCACGGAAAGTAGCACTCCATTAACCACGGAAGAAGTAAAGAAATTGATCGAAAGCAATCCCATAATCCGTGAGAAATCTCGACAAATTCAAATAGCAAGATCTAAAAGCGATACTGGTGAAATATGTGTTCCCTTAGACAAAATAAACATACCATGTTACAATCAAATGGTTGATGAAATAAGATCAGCTAAAGGCGACGAAAAAATGATAAAAAACGCGAATTACAGAAATATGAAAGCTTTAGTAAATAGCGCTAATGCCTATGAAGCTTCTCTTGATATTACACATAAACATTTGTTGAAAGAAACCGACAATGAAGCCTCGGGTAGTGACAGTGAGTTCGAAGCTATTGACAAAGTGGTCACTGAGTACACGAACAAATCTTATGAAATGAGATTCCAAGAAACAAAAGCAATGTTGCTTGAACTAGCTGACAAACACGATAATTTACATGGTCACAACGAAAACGTTAGTGAACAAAAAATAAAACAACTAACGGAAGAATACAAAATTCTACAAGAATCATCATCTGTTCTCCCAGACATTAAAAGCCGTCGAAATTTTTTTGAAGAGCTTAAGGAAGAGTATTCTATTAATGCAGTAATGAATATACCAATAGTAAACAATCCAATTAAATTAAATTCTATCGAGGATAAGAAATCTAACTTGACTTACATTAAAGAAATGAAAAAAAATCAAGAAAGCAATGCGGACGAAGCTTTCTCTAAAAGTTTTGAAGGCAAGCTGTTGGATACTACTAAAGTATTAACTAATATAAATTCAATTTTAAGCGGGGACTCTAATATTGAAGGAAATAAACATATTGCTAAGAAAACAAATGATCAAAGTTCTTCTGCCTCGGATCAAATGAACCAAGAAAGTAGCAAAACTGTAGATAATGTTGATTCCAGCGAGAGTTTAAACATCGTAACTACAAATAATCAGTCATTCGATGATAAAATGGAGCAAACATTGCATAGTGCTTTAGAAACCATACTTAATATCGGAGATGATGAAAACCGCGAAAACAAAGATTTAGAATTTAAAGAAATGAGAAATCTTGCAAGAAATCTAGTGGAGGGAGCTGAAAATCTTAGTACGTTAATAAGATCAGATATAACTAATAAATTGAATAGCATGAACGAATTATTAAATGATGTGAATGAAGCTCTAGAAAATTCTAGAAAGTCTAATATTCAATACCAAAATCTTATGAATGACAGAAAGAGTATTCAAATAACAGAAATTGTAAAGTCACCAGAAGAAACTAAGGTCGAAAGTATTGATAATAATACGGTGAAATTGTCAAGCGAATCTGTTACTTTTACGCAAATAGATGATATAAATAATGCTATAGTTGAGCTGAATCACGAGATTAATTGTCATGAGGATAGAGTTAATAAAAGTCAATTGGCTTACGAAGCACGACATAAGGAATGCAATGATTTCATGAAGGAAGTTGATAAAGTACTGGCAAAGTCACACAGAGTTCTTCACCCATTAGAACATTCTGGTACTTCTACGTTAAAAGAACACGTCGAAAACCTTAACAAAGACGAAACACGAGATCTACCTAAATTTGAGAAAGAAGAAGTAGAGAGAAATAAACGTATCGATGGACTTCTCTTTGATATCAAAGATAAGATGAAACATAATAAAGAAGTTTTAAGGTTAGCTGACAAATTACTTAACAGAGGAGATACAAAATGTAAGACATTAGGTGAAGGTTCCGTTTCTATTACAGAGAAAGTAGATACAAAAGCTCAAGGAGATCATAATAATTTAATTGATTCCAAAGATCATTCTAAAATATCTGAAGTACCTGTGAAGGTGAATTCAACAGGTACCAATTCATTTTTTTTTTCACATAAACAAACAAATTCAAAACAAATTGTTATTTACATTGCATGGTTTTATGCAGTTTCAGTAAGAATACAGGAATATGAACAAAGGAAAAAGGACGCGAGTGAAGAAAGGCGGCAGAAGCAACGAGAATTTCAAGAAAAGCTGGATAAAGAGAAAGAAGAAGCGAATAGAGGTCCGCGGATGACGAAAGAGTTTATAAAGAACCACTGTAAGCAGCACAAATTATACTGCACACCACATCTTAATGATATTTTATATCTCCACTTCAAGGTAAGTAACTTAGCAGGTTTTATTTCAACCCTAAGCATACAAAGATTCTACATATTGTTAAAGAAATGTCAATATTTAAAAGAAGTAAAATTTCAGGGTTTTGCCAAAATTGAAAATCTCGAAGAATACACCGGTTTGAAATGCATATTCTTAGAGAATAACGGCATTCAAAGGATCGAAGGTCTGGACATGCAGGCTGATTTGAAGTGCCTCTACCTACACTACAATGTTGTTAGGAAGATTGAGAATCTCCAGGGTTGTCCCAAACTGGACACTCTGAACTTGGACCATAACTTTGTAACGTGCATAGAGAATCTGGATGTAGTTCCTGATTTGCATACGTTGAGTATCGCTCACAATATGCTCACAACTGTAGGTACGAGTATTCCTAGTCTTAAATAACCAGACCTAAAATTGGTACCTTTGACTAAACTAGCGCACAACTGCTGTGGGATTATCGATAGTCGATTGTTTCCCAACCAATTCAACTGTTTAGTTGCACAACTATAATCGAGTAGTGTGAACACCTCCATATAAGCTCATAGGAATCAAAACAAGACCAAACAGTTGTGCAATAGTATAGTTCAGGAGTGCGCACGCTCTTAGTGATGATGGAATTTGAAATCGGTAAAATATCTTAAATGCTCTAGGTGATCTCCAACATTTGGCGACTTGCAAAAACCTCTCTGTATTGGATCTGTCTCACAACCGACTGGAAGATCCTCTAATCGTTGACGTTTTGGCTGACATGATGGTTCTCAAAGGTAGCTTGGTTTAGATTTACATTTGTACCTAAACCTTGAAAGTGATGCTTAAAAATGAGTGTTTATATTTTACCAGTTCTGGTACTAACGGGCAATCCTGTGGTGCGGAACATACCAGCGTATAGAAAGACACTCACGTTACGCTTGAAGGAACTGTTGAATTTGGATAATAGACCGGTCTTCCCGCGTGATCGCGCCTGTGCTGAGGCGTGGCAGCGCGGCGGATTGCAGGAGGAGATAGCAGAGAGGAAACGGTTAGTGATCTGCTCATAAGAGGAATAGATTAAACTATGGATGATGTTTAATTTTTATTCCTTCCAGCTGGATAGCAGCAGAACATGAGAAGACAATGAAGAGTGTTCGATACCTGATCAAGATGCGAGATGAGAAGAAAGCAGAACGGGAAGCTAAGGAAAAAGAAGAGCGCGAGAAACTTGGCCTTTTACCTCATGTAATTACATAGTTACTAACTGATTTTATACACCAATTCATCCAAATTTTAGTAATTAGATCAGTGGACACTTTAATGAGCTGTTTATTATAGGATGAAGATGTACCACAGATTGAAGATATTAAAGACAACGGTGAAGAAGGGACATCGGAGAAAGTTAATTTAAAGACTGTGGATGGCGTGCTAGAAGATATGCTGACTGGATCTGAAGCCGAGTCTACTAGTGACGACAGTGATAGTAACAGCAGCTCTGACGATGAGAAGGAAAAAGGTATAGAAAAAGCAATAGATAATCTTCTTAATACGTTTTATTTCTTTTTTTACTAAAAATGATTACTTAATACAATTTAAAAATAGTTGAATCTAGTGTAGATTTAATTACTATGTTCTTAAACTTGTTGGCAATGATTTGACAGAAGCTGCAACGTCCGAAATACAGTGGTCTCCAAATAGTCAGACGTTAGTTCAGGAGATCGATATAAGCCGAGAGGATCCTCCGGCTCAGGAGTGCTGGTCTGGTTACAGAGGCGACCTGAACAACGAAAACACGGAGTAAGTTTTTTCTACCCTGGTAACATTAAGTTAAATATCTTTTTTATTGATTTTTTTCATACTGTAAGTTATTTTTGTATATTGTTTAGAAAATTAAAATCTATTGTTGTTTGTGACTGTATATTTACTTAGCTGTAAGTAGATTTCTTAATTAAATGAATTGTTTTTTTTTCAGGAAATTTTCATCCGAACTTACCGCAATCAGTAATTTATTATTCAATCAAACTCCGCATAAAACTAATTCTGCGACGGATAAGAGGAAAATAAAAATAAAAGGTACGTTTTTACATTACTATTTTATCAAATTTTAGTTAATATTACATTAAAAATATCATTTTTGCTTTAAGTCGATAGATGGCGCAGAAAATTACTTTGAAATTATAGAATGCGCTGTTAAAATTCATAGCCAATAGATGTGGTGGATTTTGTAGTTATTTTGATTTTGATTCAAGCAAGAAAACGAATGTATGCGATGACATCAGGAAGCAATTTTTGCTGGATAAATTCTCCGCTCCGGAGAATATTCCGACATTTCATAAAATTGCCTTCGTGTTTTATGAATTTCAGTATGTAGTGTAGCATATGTACTCTAACGCACGTTGATTGCATTAATAAAAAAAATGTTATAAATCCTTAACAATTTTAAATAATATGCATATGCCAGTAGCCGGCACACTTGCATGGCCATGGCAGCTAGAGCTAGTCGTGTGGACACTAACTAGCACGCAAGTAGCTACTCGCGACTACGTTCAGTAATCTATAGCCATACCGAAGTTTGCAAATCCGAGCATATTGCGGTTAAATCTGAAACTAATTTCATAACAATTGATGTAATAAAAGCCATGGAAGTGCAGAAGTTATAATTTTTGTATTAATTTTTAACAGTTCTTTTTTATAAATATTTATAGGTGAAATCAAATCATGCGAAGATTTCAAATTAATCAGTGAGGCTACAACGCCTAATACAAAGAAACCGTTAATTGAAATAATTGAAAATAATACAGAATTATCGAAAGAAGTTGAGAATGGTAATGATTTAAACGACAAACCGTTGTGTATTGAAGACAATATTAAAGTCTGCCCTGTGAAAGAAAACAAGGGTTTGAAAACTATTGTGATTCAGGAAATTAAATGCAGTGATTTAGAATGTACTAAGGAAGGAGATAATAAAGATTTTGACGACAAAAATTCCGAAAACAACGGAACTAAAGCAATTGAGGTTAAAAATTCTGATAACTCTGAAAATGCAAGTGACAGAACTGAAGATGAAAATGCCGCAGTAGAAAATACTGCAAACAAGACAGTTATATGTAGAGATAGTAAGTATTTTTTATAAATATTGAATTATCATTATTTAATGTTGGTATTCATTTAAAAAACAAAGTAAGCTATGATTTACTTTTGTTATCTTTTAATATATCGAACAGTAAGAGTTGTAGTGTGCGTATTGTCTAAGAGTCTACTTGGGCGGCCGCACACCTTTGACTAAACTATCGCACAACTGTTATGCCATTGTCGATTGTTTGCCAATTCAACTGTTTAGTTGCACAACGAAACATCGAGTAGTGTACATCCATATAAGCATATAGGAATCAAAGCGCGACTAAACAGTCGTGCGATAGTTTAGTCAATTGTGTGCACGCTCTTATTGTGACAAGCCTTTAAACTGTAGATTGTTGAAATTATTCATTAATTGAGTCCAGTATTCATTTGGGTAGAAAATTACAGTCCTCGATTTGCATTTTCTCTATAAAAGCTTTGGAGCAAGGAGACGGCGTGTCTCTCGTGAAGTATATTCGCGGCGCCGACAGCGACCTCTACGATGACGACGAGGATCTGACGCCGAGCGCTGAAGACCTGGAAATCTTTGCCGAGCTGGAGAGAGAACAGAAGGAGAGGGAGGCTAGGATCGCGAGGGGAGAACCACCTGTTGATCCTATGGCGAGTACAAAGATAATTTTTAAACTTACATATGTTAAAGAATTTAATAAAATCAAAAATATTTATTATTATTAAAGGGTAGTTTATGGTCAAAAGGGCTTAGTAGTATTGAAATATGTACAGTCGCGGAAACTGTCCGTTGTTCCACTTTAAAAGCTACAATCGTTTGAGCATTTTGAAATGAGACGCCGAACAAAAATTAATGTAACACAGTTTATAAATGTGTCTGTACGGAAAAAAGGTTAATGATTCACGGCTCGTTTCTTATTATTATCGCTTTGTTTGCCGACAATATTATTTAATCTATACTAAAATATAAAGAAGAAAGATT